GAGAGAGAGAGAGAGAGAGAGAGAGAGAGAGAGAGAGAGAGAGAGAGAGATACAAGTTCGTCCCCGCTGATAGTTGACCGAGATACGGGATAACATTTTCCCCGGGGCAAAGAGAGACACATCATCCCGGCAGATTGACACAGACACTTGATAAATTCTGTTCTCCACACATGGGAATCGAGCTCGGATCTTGTTGACCATCGGTAGTTGGGGGACGACAGTGGTAGTGTCAACTTTTTAAATTTCCGTATACCATTCCTGTGTGTCTGATGTTTTTGGCTGCACTAAATGAATGTTGATTTGTCCATATGCCTCTCTTTCTCAAACTGAATGAAAGTGACATGGAAATCCAAAGAAGTCTAGAGGTGACCTTTATCATACCATCTGGTTAAAAGATGCAAACGGACCATCGGAGGTTAACCTTAAATTCGGAGGTCCCGCCTCATTAGTGCCCAGTGTTCAGAAGGGCGTTAAACCTTTTCACTTTGCAAAGTTCTCTATGGCATTTCGGCCGTTTCGTTTTGACTTACTAAGACCAGGAGGTCGGAAAAATGGATGTTCTTCCATCTGCTCTATCAAAATCGTAGGATTATTCGGAATCGTAATCAAGATATTCGAAGAATTACATTTTAAAAAGCTTGTCGTGCTGTGAAACTCAAATTTTTTTCACGTCAAATTTCACAAAACTAGGTGGTAGCTCTACTGAGCAGACAGAGCTTAGTAATTCTAATGTAGCTACTTACTTATTTAAGGCCATCTGCTGGTGGAATTTCTAAAATCCATATCCCTTGACTATATGTAGCAAAGATGATATATTCATATTAGTCAGACATTAAAGAATTAATTCAAGTAATTATTTATTATTATAAGCACATGGTTACCATGGTAACCAAGCAAACATCCGCCTTATTGGATAATTTTATCAAATTTCAAAAGCTATCTTCTCTCTTAGTTTTCGTCCGTTGGCTTTCATTTTTAGCAAATACAAACTACAACACCTGTGTAGTGAGCAAATAATGCCAGATTTGTAATATTATTATTCAAAAAATAATTACGGACTCTGGAAGTGTGTACGTAGATGTAGAGCAAAAAAATCTCAAAATTCCCAACAAAAACACTGATTGTAATTTTAATCTTAGAGTATCTTCAAAAAGGGCTCTATTTCAGTATAGGTCTCCATTGGATGTACATTGTATTAAATAATGAAGCTATTCAGGTGGAAAATAAAAGAAAAGATGTAATTTAAAGTCGAAAAAATAAATATTTTTAAAAAATTAAGAAAATATTAAAAAACATGACCCAAAATTGCAAAAAAAATATTTTAACACCCATTTTTAAATGACTTTGAAATATAATTGATTGAAACGGACGCTCGAAACTTTGATGGAAATGGATGTAGGTTTAAAAAATGGAGAGGAAAAACTGTATGGTCAAACTGGGGAAAAATGGGGAAAATCTCACCCGCAGATGGCCTTAATGTACAAGACTAAAAGGGGATCGGACATTCGTGGCGCAACATATCCTCAAATATCTCTTTAACGGGTAAATCAATGTCACCCAAACTTTACACAGCACTTTGTGTCAATTTGTCTTAACTCTATCATAATATTTTTCCTCAACAATTGAGGCTAGATACAAAAACTTTTCTTCATAAATTTATATAAAACACAAGAAATCTCCGTCATTCGTAGAGTGTGATTGCTCATAAATAACACTTCCAGCTTCTCACATACATTAAATTTGCATACGAATATGGCCTACGTCACAGCTCACCAATGACACTTTTTAGCGGCAAAACTTGTTACAAGAAATTAATTTTATAATGAACACTTTTTTTTCACCAAAAGTTCTCAAAACTTGCGTTCAATAAGCACTAATAATAAAGTCTCGATTAAAAAGAAAATAATAAACGATATTGCCCAAGCTGTAAACTTCTTACAATCTGCAGCAATCGCCCACTTAGTTTTTTTAAATTATTACTTATATAGGAATTTTCTAGTTTTCAGCATGGAGGTGTTTACAAAAATGTTGAACTCTCAAGACAAATTATTGCAAGGTCACTGAGCAAAAGTTGGAACACTTATGTTCGAAAGCGGAGGACATATTTATTGACAATAAGTTTGGTCCGAGTTTTTTGACCAAACTATAGCTGCTGATTTGCTTATTCTGTCTTACTTTGTCTATCCTAATCACACCACCAGGACTCATATTCTAGCCGTGCTAGCCATGTCGCTGGTCCTCCTGGCTCTCAACTGCCACTACTTCCGGACATACGGGTACCTGTATGACGTCAGCACTGACCATCACAGCTGTGACGTCATCCAGGGTCAGGAGAGGGCGCTGCTGGTCATGGACTGGGTCAACGCGGTGGTGTACGCGCTACTGCCGGC